TCCTTCTCTAAATTGAGAGGAATTGGAAGTGCAAATTTCAGATAACAGGTATATTGAGATGATGTAGAAACCACATTTACCTGCTTATTGCGACTACCCTAATTCCTAATTGAAGTGGTATCAGCAGCAGTGTTCTCAACTGTTGCTTTGGAATCCTTTCTTTGAGTTGCCATTGGAGATTGGAATGATACATCGATCATCAGCTCATGTTGCCAGCTGGCCAAGATTCTTAGTCACACTTGGTGGCAACCAGTCACTATTATTCATCATCCAGTACTGTCAAACAGCTTTGGTGTTGCCATGGTATTAAGGTTGCAACCAGTGAAGGTGCTGTTCTAATCTCGAGCTTACGTGAGCTCGGGTGAATAGTAAAATCAATCAAAATAAAATAAAAATAAAGTTCAAAATTTCTGATTTTTTTTCTGTCAAACATTGAAAAATGTTTTCATTGCTTGCAAATTTCATCCTCGGATGACATTCGTGGAAAATGCGGCAAAGAAAAAGTATGCTCCAAAATGCTTTTAAAAATAACATTTCGGAACATCGATTATTTTTGCCACGCCTTCAGGTGTTGAAATTTAGCAAGAAACAAAAACATTTTGCCACTATTTAATAAAAAAAAAAATCAGTTTTCCTGTTTTTTTATTTTTATTTTACTGTTCACCCGAGTTCATGTGAGCTCAGGATTAGAACGGTCGCGTCCTGGCAACCAGGTGTTATTATTCAACGGATTCTCTGCTCTTCTTTCGATGATATCATCTGTGCACCGTGAAGCTGCTGGTGAGTCGATTAGAATCCGCACGAACGGGGCGTTTTGGTACACATCATACATTTAAGAACAGAGGATGTATGTTCATGGTGGCTCCAAGAATAGATGCATGCAACCACTGGGTGTGCTGATGACAACACAGTAGTGTGAATTTTTGAATGTAGCAATTGTACGAAGAATTCTCATAAGCGACGCTGGTTGCATACAAGTGGTAGAATTCGAAACATAAGCAGTCCAATCAGAGTGGCGCAGCGGAAGCGTGGTGGGCCCATAACCCACAGGTCCCAGGATCGAAACCTGGCTCTGATAATTTTTTGTTGGTTTTTGATTTTTTTTTGGCCCATTGCTGTGATGGACCAATTTTTTCTGTTTTGAGTCGTGCGGCCCATTTCTGCTATGCATAAATACACAGCTGCTCAGTCTTCTTTTTAATACACAGCTGTTACATTTCTTCTGTTTTTGTGATTTTATTTTTATTTTACTGTTCATCCAAGCTCATCATCACCAGACACCAGGTGTTATTATTCATCATCGGATTCTCTACTCTTCTTTTGATGCCATCATCTGCGCATTGCAAAGCTGCTGGCGAGTCAATTGTAATTCCTACTCCCTCCGTTCCTAAATATTTTTCTTTCTAGAGATTTCAAATGAACTACCACATACGGATGTATATAGACATATTTTAGAGTGTAGGTTCACTCATTTTACTCCGTATGTAGTCACTTGTTGAAAGCTCTAGAAAGACAAATATTTAGGAACGGAGGGAGTACATACGTACGTTCGTGTTGGCTTCCGGAATGCATGCAAGCAACGAACTGGTTGTGCCGACGACATCACAATCCTGTGAATTCAAATCACAGCAACCATAAAGGATCAAAGAAAAACCCTTCCCATGGTGTGAAAAGAGAAGGTAAGAACGGGGCCGTGTTATAAGCCTAGAGGAGATATAGACAGAGATATAGATATAGATAGAGATAAACACCCCCAAGATTTGTTAGGAATTGATTAATAGAGTACAAAAGAGATATAATTTATGAATAGCAAAACATAATATCTATTCAATGCTTACCTTTTTCAATGGGTTTGTTGAATTGAGTGCCCAAGATAACATACTCATCAAGTATTTCTATATTTACGATCACTACTATATATATGAACCATCTACAGACGACATGTTATCAAACACCATAAACAACACATATACTCATCAAGGTAGTCGTGGCACAAACCATGACCATGAGGCACCGGCAAGCTCTCTCATGTCTTGCCCTCCTCTTCATCCTCGTCTCGTCCAGCGCTTCCATTTTAGATGACACATGCAAGTCGGTCGCCGCAAGAAACAAGGACATCTCCTACAACTACTGCATCTTGTTCTTCCAGGCCAACAACACCAGCACCACCGCGGACAAGCGCGGCCTCGTCGTCATAGCCACAAAGATCACCCGAGCAGAGGCCGCAAGCACCCGCAACCACATCGATGCCCTAATGGCCTCAGGGACGGACAAGAAGGTCAACGGGTGCCTCTCCGAGTGTCGCGTGCACTACACGATCGCGCTGAACTGGCTCGAAGCCGCGGCGAAGGGCATCGAGTCAGGTAATTTGCAGGATGCGGAGGTGACCCTCAGAGGAGTGATATTGGGCATCGATACCTGCGAGGAAGGGTTCCGCAAGCTAGGCATCAAGTCGCTTCTGGCCGCCGAGGATGCCACGTTCACTGCGGGCTGCTCCATCGCTCTCACTATAACGAGCATGTTGTAACTAGCTAGCCGTCGTGGATGCACGAATCTGGCTAATAGTTCTAGCTATACACTAGTCCAGGATCATCCGGACCGATCAATAAACCCTTCAAACCTGCAATTTTAGATCAGTGAACTTTGCAAGTATGTTTGGATGGAATTTTGTTTTCTTATAGAATTATATTATTATTTTTGCGGGGCTTATAGTATTGATTTACTGGTGACTAAAAGTACTCCCTCCTATTTAATCGGCGCACAATTTGCGTATGATCATGGTGATCGAGGAAATGAATGTCCCATGTAATGTTCTGGCTTATTTAGGAGATGCAGAGCAGTATGGTGAAGACTATTCTGAATGATCAATGCATATGCTGGGATCATCATTTTCTTGCACCATCGAATTACTACTCTAACTTGAGAGGAACCGTATTGCAATCTATTCTCTGGATTATAGATATATAATCGTATTGCATAGGCAGAGATAACTCTCTGAATTTTTTAATTACGAAGAAAAACCCCAAGTGGGACCCACCCTTTGGTGAAAAATACAAACCCCAAGTGGGACCCCCTTATGGGTGAACATTACAAACCCCCATAGGCTTTCTGCGTAATTAAATGAAGCACGAGGGAGGTTTCTGAAAACAAATCCATCACGTGCATCCCACCTTGCTACCAACCACTGACATGTGGTCCAGGGCCACGTTGGCGTGCCATGCAAGCACTGGATACGTCCGGATACGGTAGGAATAACCGTATTTAAACGAGATGACAAGTTCGATGACCATAAACTTGTATTTTGCAAATTTTGGTACCAAACTTCAATATATATCCGTAATTCACTATCATACACAGATTTTATAATTATTTTTTATTGTTCAATCTTTTATTTTGGGCGAGTGAAAGATCTGAAACACTACACAGTTTATTAAATTGAAAGTAAAACGCCATATTCATCTCACAGTCAGCTAACGGTTTAAGTCTCGTAAAGCCTCCGCATAATCTTCAATTGTGCATCAACTAGGATAGAAGGACCTGTTCTTTTGAGATCTGCATACCCTTGGGTCGCCACCACAGCATCCATAATTTTTGGAGAGTAGATGAATTCAACACAATCATCATTTAAAACGTCGCAATGATGTTGATCCGCTAAAGCCAGCGTAGTTGCAACATTCTCCACATCAAGATTCTCGCAAAGTATGATCTGACATACCAGTTTTAGCCTCTCCATGTCATACCGGTCAGCAGCCACGAGCAAGTGTTGGACCATCTCAGCATGATCATTTCCCCCGAGATCATCAATATCTCCAATGAATCCGTGTAGATGAAATGGAGCAGGGCCTTGAAGACATTTGGTTGCATGTCTTGGATGGATATGAGTGGTGTTTCTGTCTTCCTCATCGGCCCATAGAACTCTGCATTGAACACTGGTGACCACACGGCAAGGACAAGCTTGTGTGCTGCAAAAACCACTCCCCCAACACCGAATGTGACATCTGTTGGAATCTCGTTTGCTTCCAGCAACTTGCTGAGCTGTGCAGTGATGTCGGATGGGGGCATCTTGATTTTGGGGGATGATTTGATTTCAAACACCTGCGCTTCTTTCATGATATTGACGACGCATTCGACCTCCAGGTGGT